TTAACCTCTACGGGCGAACCTCATCCCCATCATAGCTATCAGTTTTGTTGCTTGCCTGTTCTCCCCGAATTTCTGTTTTCTTTTGAAGAGATTTGTGGACATTTACTATCCGTCCTTTGTTTAAAGCTGTGAACTCTTTTGTTGCAATCATACGTGAGTACTATCGTTTTGTTTGACGATTGAGCCTACTCTTGGACTCTTCTTCTCATCTTATTATATAGGGTCTCTATATGATGCTCTACATTCGTAAACCCTGAAAGACATGCACCAATCGTATGTCTGGACGGCTAGACGGGTGCGCATAGATGTAGACCCTTTGCATTAGGATCATTGTTGGAACGCAGAGGTTAATAACCTAAAGGTGGGAGGTCAATGAAAATGGGAACATACACCTTTAAAAGGCTATTTATAGATTATTCAAACTAAATGCCTCTATAAATGATGGAGTTTGTTCCCATTTCCCCTTCGCCTTCCTTGCATCTTACCTACGGAAAGGACAGAATTACCAAATTCGAATTAAAACTTTTGAGACACTCTTCAACGAGTACAACTGACTTATTCTCCCACACCCATTGAAGAAATTGTTGCTTTAAATCAGTGCTAAACAATCTTCACTCTAACATGCATTAAATGGTGCCATGTTAAAATCCAACACTCATGATGACAAATCACGCACCAACAGGACACGCCAATAACCTGGAAGAATAAAGGCTATAAATCACTACGTGTTTTCTATACCGCGTCCTGCATGTATTATGGATAATGATGATAAAACCATCGTATCAAAATGATGAGAAAAAAATATTTGTGAAATATTTCTTCTTTCAACCGTCTCAAGCTCAATATCGAGCAGTGCTACAAGACTATGGAGACCCAGTTGAGTTACGCCAAAGTCTATCGGACAGACTAGATTCAGATACGACAGATGATATTCAAGACTTGGACAAAAAGCGTCTCGGAATGAATCGTTTAGACGCTTGCAACAACTTTTTGGCGCCTAACTGTCCTGGCTTTGGATACAAGCAGGACTACTACAATGCTTCGTGAAGCGCTTAGATAGTTGACAACAAACAGAACCACAACAAAGATTCCCCGAACTTTACTTCATAGTCAAAGCAGTGGGCGTGAACCTTTCAAAGACAGCCAACTAGCTAGCGCCTTTTTTATGTCCCTTTCGCCGTTGCTTTGATCTTTGTTCAAAGACCAGCGCGATGGAAGCCGAACTTTTATCGGACAGCCAGTCGGTTAGGAGGGAGGGCGGCCGGTCGTTATTCCGGTGGTGAAAAATGACTTTGTGGCGATGACCTCTCCGGCCTTCGCATAGCACGCCGACAAGAACAACATACATTCCACACCAAAACACACAACGCGTGCATAGGCGGGCTAGGCAAAGAGACAGGCAGACAATGATGCAGACATAGGAAGGCAGACAGACTAATGGAACGAAAGATGGTGTAGTGCAATTCTATAGAAAAAATCGTTTCGTTCAAAATTGTTTTTGAAGCTCGTCTACCCATCAATCTACACCAAACATTCGCGAAAAAACGCGATGATCTACAGTTGCACTTACCATCTAACCACATTCCCCGCCATTGGTTAGCTCAGTTCCACTTGTCCTGCGAAATATAGTTTATTCTTCATCAATATTACTAAAGGCAGCTATTGACGTGGGATCGCCAATCAAATCCTCCACACCAGCTGCACTCTAGGCGTCCGAATTCAACCAAGATGGAAAGTTAGGGAGACGTCTAGATTGAGTGACAGAGTGGTATTTCAGTCAAGACTAGACAGCAGTGGGTCCTGCTAACAACCTACAGCGTTTGCATCTCAAATGGTAAAAGTCACTCTCCAGATTCTTATGTACTTTAAAATGTCTTCAGAGGTAAATCAAAACAACAGTTACCTACCGTAAAAAGTGTAATCGCTTTCACTGGCAGAAAACCATTTGCCATTAAGAAGTAAAACTAGAGACTTACGACAGAAACAAAAAGTTACCTCCGCAAGATACACTCAGCTACCCGTCAACCCCGTGTTAATTTCCATCTGATCTATACAGTCTATCCTTCAGCTATGCATTTAAAACCAATTATTGGACTGCGCTTTCACTGAAAGAAAAACTTTTCTAAAAGCTAAGACAAGATATTAATTAAGCGGAATCACCTTCTAACTTTTCCGAAAACGCGAAAAAAACTGTCCTTTTTCAGGCCGCAACAATGGACCTAGGGCGCTGCATACATTTCGTCACAGGCACAAAGACAGTTGTGTATTCATTAATTCAAGCATTCATCCATCGAATGCACATGCCTTTGATCCTTCCGCCAGGGGCTGTTTATCGGCACTACCACCAACGTCATCATCACCACCACCACCACCAACGCCATCGTCACCACCCTGTTTATGGGTGGCGTCTGGAGGCTGCGTCATCGTCCCCTCACCTCATCTACCCACTAACTTGTGTCATTTTATTGCCTCACTGCTGTGGTAGCGAGGGCGTTGGTGCTATCCGTAGCATCGGGAACGCATCCACCTTTAGGTGTGATTTTGTAAATCGTGTTTTCGTTCCTCCTCCAGAAGTGGGTGCAAAAAACAGAGAATATATAATGACTAAAATTTCCTACACCTCCTTCTTCATCCCTTACATAACCTCATGCATAACATCGACAGATATTATTAGTAAAATTTCCTAAGATTGACAAACTGAGAGGACTTGACGGATTCATCAATTTAGCAAAGCCAGCATTTAAGATATGGTTAAGAGACCAAAGCGATGGCTGATTATCAAAACCTTTCTTTTTGTGCCGACAAAGGAGATAACAATGCGATCCCTCACTATGATGCGAACATGAGCGAAAGGGTTATTATTTGAAAACTCCACGGAAAGGCGTGACCTGGATCGACACTTTGGGAAAGAATTAACCATGCGGCTAAGTGGGGTCATGATAAACGAGTAGCTGTTTACGAGAGATCGATTTTGTTGAAAGATTTAACTTTGAACACCTCGTGGGTAGGCCTATTCGTAGACGTAACGTGAGCATTCGTAAAATAATTTCCCGAGGATATGTATTAAAGTGACGGGATCGTGAAATGAAATATTCGAAAAACGCAGCGACATCACACTGTACAACTGACGTACAAAGACAACTAAAAAGTCGTGCCTCCTCTTACCAGTCATGCTGTCATCGAAGAATGTAATAAAACAAACGAGCGGGAGAGGGAGGCATTAGTCACAGTGACAAAGAAGAATAAGGAGTAATGAAAGGGGGCAAAATAGGAGTGCAAAATCACGTCGATCGAACAACCGACTGACCAATCCATGAGAGGGCAAGGAAAACCACATAAACACAATACACACGCGAACAAATGTGAAGGCGGAATGCAGGCAGGGGGCCGACTAAATAACTCGTAAAGAAGGAGATCAAAGACTATGCCGCCGAGAAAATAATAAAGCCAATAAAATCGTGACTTCTTCGTCCACACTCCCAGCATCGCTTGAGACTGTGGTGGTGTGTCCAATTTGTGGGCCGTGCAACAGTACTGCTAATAAAGGCTGGTTATTTTCAGAGTCCAGTTTTCTGATTGGTTTGAGTTATTCTCAAAAGCTTAGGTTGGCGCTGCTGACAGAAAAAGGGCATAACTTGATGTGCGAGAGCGCCAAATCACTAAGTGATCTACTATCTCAGACGATAGTTTAATTTTCATGTCAAGGCAAAAGAAAGAGCACCTCCAAGGTCCCGAAGAAGAGATAAAACATCACAGACGAGGAGGGCAAAAAAACGCACAGACCATTTCGGTCACCTATTACAATAGTGTGTTAAAGCTTTTGAAACGGCACAAGTATTAATCAGTCTTTTCTTGCTGCATACAATTAACCTGTTAAAAGCTGTAACCACAACGCTTACGTGTTTTCACTATTCCTGCCCTAGCTCGTTTGATCGCATTATTCAACCGAAAACATCTAAATTCACATTCGCAACTCACTTTCGATGTGCTTCCGGTATAACATCATCGAATATCACAAAGATCATAGCACCAGCCGCAAAACCCAGTGCGTACGGTTGAAGGGGATTGACATATTGCACAGTGATACAGCCCAAAATACCAGCCAAGGGTTCCACGATTCCCGAAAGTTGGCCATACCAGAAGCTCTGCCAAAACGAGTAGCCAGCTGCTCGCATTGGCAAACTGACTGCCAGACCTTCAGGAACGTTTTGAATGGCCATACCAAGCGCCAGATTTCTAAGAAAACACTTGTTCGACTAAAAAGACCAACCTACTTAATGACGAATTAAGTAGAAAGAAAATTACCGCGCTCTTAAAAAGGCACCTCCGGCAGTGCTATCGTCTCTTGCCCCAAAGGCGACGCCAACGGCTAAACCCTCGGGAATGTTATGGAGTGTGATGGCGACAATGAACAGCCAAATACGGCTGCTAACCCTTGGTGAATGGGTGGAACGTCTGGGTTTGTAGAAGGTAATAGGAGAGATGAAATCATTACCACGGTAACGGACCGAACCACTAGTGAGTCCTAAAGAAGGCATAAGGCAGAACAGAAAATATGCATGAAACTGGATGTTTGAATGAAGCTATGGCAGATAGATGAATACATGAATTGGGACGAAAGATTGTATGTAGATCATGGATGGATTTGAAGATAAAAACGAAGAGATGAATAAAACTACCATGGAGTGAGTGAGGTAAGAGAAATTAGGGCGAGTAGAAATGGAGTAAACGATAAAATTTGAGAGGACTAGGGAGGAGAAGTTAGAATGGACTGGTCGAGTTGGTCTGAGACAGCCGAGTAGGTCAGAGATGGTAAGTGGGTGCGCACACTACATCCAGCACGAGCTGCTTCTACCTCATCAAAAACACTTGGTCCTTGCCTTGACCTCTGATGTTAAAATATTAAATGCATGAGAAAGAAACATCTCAATGAAGTCATTTAGCAATTTTTCATGTTAGTGCTTCAATTATCTAGTTAAATTTCAACACCTAGAGCCTACACTTATAACGCGACATTTCCTACACCACTGGACTTACTCACTAATCAATTAAATGGAGTAAAGAGAGGTTGTGCAAAATACTGTTGAGCATGTGGGAAAATGGATAAGGTGGTAAAAAATAGCACGGAGCGAAACAGAAACTGTGGTCATTAGGAGAAAAATAAACATAAACAATGTAGTGCCAATATCAACCCGCTTTTTGGCCGCCGATAGAAGAACGAGCCAACTTAAACTAGCTTCTTTCAAGCAAATGACAAATAATAACAAAGAAAACTGACTTTCTCAAGAGGACGCACCTCCAAAAAGCCGGTCATCCACGATTGGGGAGTAGACAGGACTGCTCGGTTCGGTAGTGTTAATAAGAGCCTGAAGTACAAACACGAACCACTAATTAGTTTACCCTAGAGAGGGACACAACCTCAAATATATACGAGACATTATTGTTATCTGAGAGCCTTTTTTCCTCCTTTATGAGATCCTCATTTGCATCGCTCATCGTAATTGTGATCGGATAAAATGAAGAGACAGACTTCCCTGCTACAACAAAAGAAAATTTCCAAATTCTTTGACATTCCATCATTAATGAATTTCCCTTGGTTTTGTCCTAAGTAAGCGAATCTCTCTAGTTCCACTTAGTTTGATGAGGAGACGAAGAAACTTCGTGAGCCAATTATCATTAGTGAAAGCATTTGCAAAAAAGCAGAACTTGAGTGACCGAAAAGAGTAATGTCCAAGCCGCTCCCTAGTAATAGTCGATCTTGCGGCCTTTGCCAATTTTTGTTGACTTCAAATTTTCATGCTGACTGAAGGGTTTTATAAAACAGATCCACCATAACTCGGTTTCAAGGCTGCAAAGGCTTCTCGAAAGATTAATTCGTAGAATTTAGTGAATAAGAGCACAACACCCCTGCATTGTGGCCCTGTGGGTAAGAAACCCTAGTCGCCGGTACTGAGGAGTGTAAAATCATTGCAGTCCTATGATGGCACTGTGTGAGTAGTATACTCCTACAAATGCAAAGGCTTCCACGACAATAACGGGAATGTTTTGAAGGGAGAAATCTTCCGTATTTCTAAAGCAAATTATGGCCTTGAACCAACATACTCTACAAGTGGCACCTAAGCCTGAACGATATTTCAGTAAAAATTCCTTAACAAAAAGGTAAATTAAAGTACACACTGACTTGTTCCTTCAGCCACATCCAGTTGTCGAACTGTGCTAGTCGTGATAAATTGCAAAATGAGTGATTTTTAGAGTTCATTCATCACCATCCCAACGCACCTGTTGTGACAATCCTAGTAATTGCCCCTTCTATTTGTAATTTTAGATTCAGCTAAACTAGAGACTAATTCCAAAAGTTCTTTACATAAAAAGGGAAGAAGACACACTTGTTCGGGAAAGAAGTAATCCACAAGGATGATGAAAGCGGCACCCGCGAGGAGTCCAACAGCGGCTGGCAAATAGCACACACTTCCCATTGAATCAGCCGACTTTACCCGGTCGACTGTTTTAGCTAAATCAATGGCTGGCTGAAGTAGTGACCAGAAGGAGGCAGCTAGCATTACCTAGGGTGACAGGGAGAGAAGAATGATTTCGGATGGTTCACCATGCCAGCCAATCGCATGATGCGATTTGAAATAAACTTAAAAAGTAGCTTCGAGAGAAAAACTTAGGACCAAAGGTAGCAGGGATGTCTGTAATACAATTGACACCACGAAGGTTATGTGATTAGTGAAACTGATAGTGCCTTTTTCGCAGAAATAAGTAAATTTTGTTGTGTATTCAATTTAGGAGAAAAGGAAAATCCAATACCCCAGCAGAAAACCCCAAGCTTCCATCGAGGAAAAGACTCTAAAAAATGAGAAAGCACTTAATTACTGCAGAAACTGATTGACCACCCAAAAAAGCGCCACTCACGTTACGTATCCGCTTTTCAGTGGTAGGCTGAAAGGCACAGAAAACGGCCCCCAGTGCAGTGGCTCCCCAAGTTAAAGAGGTGCCGATCGCAGTTTGTGCTATTGGAGAGAACCCTTCGATCATCACTTACCTAAAAAGTCCAATGGCAAGTTGGCACACCCAAACCATGCATGAGTAGAAAATGTAGAGGACTTCAGCAAATCAATCCGAATACGAATGCTGCTATTTTAATGCATATTATCGCGAGCATCTAACAATTTACACCGACACAATTACAGATTCAAAAGTTTTATAGTTCGCAAAAGTTGAGGTGAGTTCTGTAAGTTTTGACTTCGATGTTGCTCTTTCATTTTAAATGGAATCCAACTGCAGCTTACACTTAGGTATTTTTCTAAATTATAGCACCGAAATGCAGACCAAAGAGAGCTTAGGAAAATATAGACGATGCTAAATATCCAAATTGGCATTTCCTCATAGAAAATGCTTTCCAACAACTGACCGTCCCACCAAAACGGATGTAGTTACTGGTCTTTTTAAACAAATCGACATCCGGTTCGGTTCATCCTCATTAGCCGATCAGCCCAGCCCCATCTTAGGTTATTTGAGCTCAAGAGCACTAATAACAGGCATATTTAGTTGCTTTATAGCAAACGGTTCAAGGAGCGCTTTAAACAATAAATCGTTATCAAGATGCGGGAGGCGTGACAAGATAACAATCGTAACAAATCTGACACCCTAAACATAGAGAGATTCTTAAATTATAACAATAGCGAATTATTTCAATCACAAAGAGCACCAGAGTTAAATAAAAAACAATTACGTGTTAGATTTTCGACACATTAGGCGATTCACAATTGAAAAACCAAGAAAGTGTAGAAAAAAATTTATTAACTTGCCCAATCCTACACATATAAAAATAAAATACAAAATCGATTGCCAACACTAGGTTATGGCTTCCATTCAACTCTCAACTCCCTGTAGTAGCCAACTAGAAGTGAGTTTGAGGGAGAGCAGATTGAAGGTGCGGCTGATGGATAAGTAGACAGCCAGTCGGCGGCGAATGAAGGCTCGACCACCACGAAAAGTTTGTTCCAGCGGGGTAGCACAATCAGCACAACGACCGCAAGATCCACCACGGGCTATCAAAGATTCTTGAATGCCGCCACCAGAGATACATCTGGGGCACTGGAGATCCTACAGTAGGGTGATTTAACGGTCCCTCAGCATTTTCAAGTGGTTTGGTTAGGATGAGTGATTTAAAAAGAGTGAGTGGATAGAAGCTACGACAAAGAAACAAATAAACTAAAAACCTCGCCTGTTATGAAAAGCGTAAAAGACAATGGTAATCAAGAAGCAGATCTCGTCTGACATCACGGCTTTTCTTGGAGTCCGTATCCAATAGTGACACTTATTAAGATTGGAGAGGTCCAAAATGCGTTATATTATGTGGATCGTTGCGCCCCTACTACAAAGAATGATTTTAGTACAGAGAATGCTTCGACACGTTCTGACTAAAACGTAACTAAAAGTGTCGAAAGGCCCGTTATTTCCACTGCTCCATTGCCTTGAGGTTTCTAAGGACCACAGTTTCGAATGAATACCGAAGTTAAAAAACCGACTAGCTATCAGTACGTAAGACGCCAAGCAGCCTGTTAATGGAACGCATAACAGCGCATCGGTAATTCATCTGTGCGCTGTCTCTAAAACGACCTCTAACGCCACATGGACTCCCAAATAATTTCTGTTCGCATTCGGCCAAACAAAAGTGCACTTCAGCCGAAACAATTCGCCTGCGACTTGTTAAATTGCACTAAGTGCAAAGCGCTTTGTAAAATGGTGTAAAAATAGCAGATAATAAATAGCTCAATCTCACCTGAAGAATAAACTGTTTCACAAAGTGTTCTAGTTGACCCATTAGGCCTGCTTCAATAGCCGCGCGAGGATATGGCGTTCCACAGTGCGGACAAACAGGGACCCACATCATGCCACCACTACTATCCGGCAGCCGAGCCAAACGTCTCTCTCGACAGATATCCAAATCTCGGACAAAGTTGCATGCATCACATGCCACTTCAGGTAAGTAAACAAGCAGTGATCTAGCCCCCACTTCTTTTCCATCTTCACCGCTGAATTCGTGAGGTGCATACCACGTTGCTTCAGGCGAAAATTCGCCTACTCCGAGAAGACGAAACAGGTCACTCTGCATCTCACCCACCTGCCTACTGATACATGTATCTAGGGAAAGAACTCGACTCAACATCTTTACAAAATCGCAGATTGGAGTTAGTCGAACTCGTTCACTCCGTTCTCCCAGTTCTGCTGGATGTGGCGGAAGCAGAGGAGGCATCACTTCTTCCGTCTCCATCTCTGTCTCAGGGCCCACTTCATCCAAGTATGCGGCAATATCAGCGCTGCTAAAACCGCCACCGATGTCATAAGAGGAGCACCAAGGCCCACCTTTTCTTCTCAAGCGTTGAACAAAGCTGTACATCTCTGGTCCAATTTGTTCACGTACGAGACGGTCGAGAAAGTCAAGAACGCCAGGAGTAAGCGTGGCATCCACCAGAGCATCGTCCGGACTGGTGACAGCGGCTTGAGTCAAGCGGTTAGATTCGTTTAGCACAGCCCTATGAGTAGCCAAAAGGTAGCCGGCGATTAATGTATGGAATTTGGCTCGAATACCACGAGATTTTGGGAGGTAACGAGCCATATGCCACCACATGTCGACTTCGACTTCCACTTTTTTGTTAGACTTTGGACTTGATGACTTCTCTGAGACCTGAGAAGAATCGCGAAGCATAGTGGTTTCCAGATCGATCTAGAAGAGACGAAGTAGAGAAGGGTTACTACTAAAAAAGAAACGAAATTGTGCCTTGGAGTCTTGATACTACTCCAAGGAGTCAAAGGACATAGTTGCCTGCTGTGGTAATAAGTTCAAGCAATGCATTGCTTTAGTAGTGCGTGATAGTCATCACTGATGGATAGTTATCAACATTGAACGAATCACATAAGCAATTATCGGAGGCTTTAAAAATCTGAGAGTAGCCTAAATAGGCAGTTTAGTAGGATTAAAATTGTTGCAAAGTCGAATAGGAAGGTGGGGTCTGTGTATAACTAAGAAGTACTACTTTTGGGTGGTTATAAAAGAAACGCAGTCCAAAATATGATAACGTTGGTTGCAGAATATTCTTGAGCCCTCAACGTATCACTTTCCAGACTTAATTCTCATGACATAAAACTGTCGTGAGACGATTGATCGAAAGTAACCTATGAAAAGGGAAACACTCGATGCATTGTTACCTCTTCCACTCACTGATGAGGACTTGTGAATGGAGTATCTGAAGAGTGATTGGTTAGATGAAGCCATGCGCTTGTTGATGATTCAACTAGAACCTTAGTTACTTTAAGAGTTACACGAACATTGACTTCTAGCACTGTTAACGGATGTGTACTACACAGTAGTGCATTCACATAAATTGTGCCTATTCTGAATAGACTAATTATTACCAACAAGGTGACTACCATAGGCGATTGCAATGGATTGACGTTCCCATTGGATGAGGCCAGGCAGCCATAATGAGTGACTGATATCTGAAGATTCAATAGTAAAATACTTAGCCTGGCACGGTGAAATAGAAATGAGCTCTGACCCTGAGACCCGCGTAGTTAGCTGGGTCGTACCACAGGAGTTGATGCCATCCGCGAGTGTATTGAAGATCCAAATGTGAGAAAAATGGCTTTGCTTGAAGCATTCGAGAAAGACCATCAATTCGTGGAAGGGCATCAACAACGTCAAGCTGGTGAGTGCAAAGAATAAGGCGGCTGAAGTTGGCGTAAACCACATCCAAACCATGAGTTTGGTTCAAATCGTCCACCAACTTTAGAAAGACCTAGAATGAATGGAAGTAAAACAAACAACGCTTGGCGTGATGGAGGACCAAATTTTAATTCAAGAAAACCTTAAAAGAAAGGATGGACGGAGAAATCAGTAGATTAATGGATGAAGAAGTAGGTTTCTGAGACAGCTAAAGTCCTTAGCAGTTTCTTTTGATTGCATTAGCCCATAAACTTGAATGGTAATTTCGTGAAAGAAAATATGACCTCTGGTAGAAATATGGGCATCGTGAGCGAAAGGCGCATGCTGAAGACGCAAAGTTATCATCCTCGACATGCATGTTTAGCCTTGAGATAAACATTCAGGAGGATATCTGATAAATGGAAATATTTATATAAATGCATTCATTTATATTTCAAACAAAATGCAAATTCGAGTCCCAGCAAGCGAAAGTGAGTGAATTCTACGAAATTTCGTATACCGTTGAAAGACGAAAAAGTGGGAACCGACTATGCACATTCTAGCATAATTCCAAAATTGACCAAAATTCAATCATAAGAATCAACAAGGCGAGCCAATGACATGGTGATAAACCTTCTTCATGAGTTTCTGCAGGGTACGTCGAAGCGCCGGGTCGTAGAGAAGGGAGGTAGAGGAGCGCAACCAGTGATAGAAGTATATAATCTGTTCATCAGCCAGAGGGTTTTGGAATTGAGTCACGTCCTTCACCAACGATACAACCATGGTCCTACAGAAGAAAGTTATCGAATCAAACGAAAAATTTGGACTTAATCTTCCCCTCCCAAGAAGACGCTAAGTTGTCGCCGTCGCAACTACGCACGGCGGTCAATATCAAGTATTTTCAATATATTTATATTCAACAAATATGATGTGTATATGCAGGTCAAATTCAAATGCCATCAATCAATCAGTAGGGCAGATGACAGCAGGCGTATGATCGTGCATACGATGTTTGGTGGTTTTTAGTTTTCGTATTTCACAGTAGATATTAAAAATCTGCAAATCTGCAAACTCCGCAGATTAAGATAGTTTAATAAGTGATATGCCGTCCAGGTATCAGTCAAATGCTGAAGAAAGAGTACGCAAATGTTGAACGAAGCTAAATCGACAAATGAAGAGACTTCAACCTTATCCTTAAAAAATCCAAAGTCACGATTTGACAGGATCGTCCCTTGTATGACTTACAGCAAAAATAACATTCGAAGCATGAAAATAAAAGGCTTTAGCTTCCCGCTCACCGAAGCACCCGAAAAGCCGATGAACACGCAGCAGTCTCGTCATAATTCGTAATTTGCGCACCCACGTTAACCCCACGTTGCAACTGCTCTTCAATAGACTGTTGAGCGGGGAGGAGGCGATCGAAGGTCAATACGCTGGCACCCTCCAACTCTGGAATGCGGTTGGCAACAAGCATTGTGTTCACTGCAAGATTGGATAGTTCCAGATCCACGCAAACATAACGGTAGCAACCGGCCCGATTTATCTCCATCACCTAGATTGAAGAGGATGTAGTTAAACGCTGAAATGCCATAAGTGGGATACATGCATGTACTAAAAGTTAAAGGGCATTAGTGGTTTTAAATATTTAGGCTGGTTGGAGTATAGTAACGAACCATGTATCTTAACATGGTACTTCCAGGACATCGAAAAGTAAAAAAAAGTTACAATCACTTAATCGTATTCAACTAGTTGCCACTCACGTTAGCCTCCTCCATTTCCAGCAGCAGTCTCTGGTCATATACCTCCTTTCCACCAAAATCCGGCTGCGTCGAACCCGAAGCCCACAAAATTTGGTTCGACTTCCACAAATGACGCGCAAAGAAAAGGTCGCATCCGAACTCTGTAGTTGTGACAGCCGGAGCACTGTTTCCAGACGTTTGTACTCGAACTGGTGTGTCGGTAACCGGCACATTTCCCACCGGAATGTGGAGATACCGAGCTAACTCCAACTGATTTTCAAATCGTGCCTCCGACTAGCAGAAAACAAGGACGAGGTTGATGTGGTTCAAGAAATGTCCAATGAATGAGTCGTACTTCTACCTGCAAATAAAACTTGATGGCACGCTTAACAACAGTATCCTGCCACTTGAGAACGCTATATGCATCGTCCAGAGCGTCTCCTGATACGCCCTCATCATCGCCAGTTCCACCCAACGGCACAACTGGCATCTCAGCAAGAGACGCCAACTGAGGAGTCCTCCGTCGATTTACCATTGCTTCGCCTAGAGGCCAGGGCGCATCTACGCTAGATGTAAAAGTGGATGACGAGGATGGAGAATGGAGAAGAACGATGATGGGAGCGTTATCGACAAAGGAGGGATTTTCGTTCTCTTCTTCTCCTTCAAATTCATCGTGACGAGTTGAGAAACCTCGGCCGCGTTCTTGATTCGCCGAGGTAATCCAACGTTGAACGATGCGTCGAGCAGTAGGAGGATCAGTCTCAATACGAGTTTCAAAGGTGAGAGAGGGTGGAAGAGTAGTGGAGGGGCCAGATGAGGTGTGTTTTACAAAAGCACGGGAGTACAAGCGGTCCAGGTTGTTAGGCAGTTTGTTGATTCGTGAGGTGTCGACTACACAGATGTATGCGCGTTGAGTCCATGGAATTACTAGAAAGTACATCTACAAGAAGGGATCAGCATATAAAACAAGGAGGTCGTGAGTGCTTACAGTTTGTGGTCTTAATTCAAGTGGACAATTAAACAATGCGCCATCTTCAGGAACCAGATAAGTACCAATACTTATGTTTGCATCGAAGACGGCATGTAAGTATTGCGATGCATTCAACATAGAAAAGGAATGAATTTCTCTCTAATTGAGCTGTCGTGTCGCAGTAAATGAAAAAGCAACAAGAAGCGTTCACTTTGAACGGAATCAGTAAGCTCATAAAAAGGAATAAGTAAAGCCTAGGCTCCGCTTTATGCGACCTTTTAGCAGTGCTTAATTGGCCTTTGGCAGAGAAAGATTTATTAGTTCGACCAAACCACAGTGGGACAACCCGCCTGCCTAACCCAATCATCGACGTCGAAATATCAACAGCCAAGGTGGTTATTATGCATTGGAACTTCGAAATTACAAAAAAAAGTTGTGCATGATTAGGACCATAAATCCTTTGCAGAGATTTCTGCGAGCACTACAAACCCAGAGAACTAAATTCAGAATGTGGAAGATGAATACAAATTGAGGATAGGTTTTCTTTAGAATAAAAACGTCCCAATGCAAACCCACCTGTCTCAGCGCCTCTCTTCGAGGCATCACTTGTCCCACATCATGATAGTAAAAGAGGAACATCTTCCTAAATCGACACCCTCCCTCTCCCCCTTCCAAGTACGTATGCTGAGCCAGCGACCGAAATTCAAGCTGTTCCAATCGGAAGCCCTTATCCACGCCACCACTACCTTCCATCATTCTCGCCTGTTGTCGTCCGCTACGTGCAACTGCACAGAGACATCCCAATTTCGCTAGCAGACGGAAAAGCGGTGGAACTCGAAGCTCGTAAACGCCCTCCACCTCAGGCCTAGCTAAATCTGCCGCAATATCAGAAGCGTGAGAAGAGTAGACATCCTCGGGAACTGTGTATTCGTATAGATGGTAAACGGGATGGGAGCGAGGAAGAGTATAGTTGGAGAGTGACGTGACAGCTGAACTCCCACCACGGATATCTCCTTTGATGGTGGATGAGACTTTTCGATAGAATGTTCCGGACTCTTGTGCCTTGGCAACCCGTTGATTAACGTAGAAGTGACGTGGAAGATGAAGAGGGATAGAGTGGAGTTGAGGACCGCTAGAAAAGGTGTCCAAAGGGGAGTGAACGTAAATCCAGAGGGTATACAGACCTGGCTGACTCAAACTTGGAACTGTCTCGATTATCTGGCAGGAGAGAGGAAGTAAGGAATGTTGAGACAAACGAATTCAATGGTGGAAGTCTCGTTAACAGAGCCGACAGAGGACTCACCTGCCAAACACACTGTGACAATGCAGCTCTTGTACGTGTTATAAAACCACCAAGCCCCCTGACTCGTTTTGCCAGTGAGACACCACCGCTATCACTGATGCCACTTTCCTTTAACCAATTCCTCCGTTCCGCTTGCAACTTCCACTTCTGCTGATGAAACTCCAACCACACACGAGTTCCAACCTCTTTCAGTTTTGGTGGATCACCTAACACCTCTCTCCAATGCCTTGGTGGTGCTGAAGGCGCTTGAGTAGTTCCCAAGATTCGCTTTTTCGTTACTCTTGGAGTTGACACCACAACTGACGGTCTTGACGAGCCTGCTGATGCATCTTCAATATCCGCAACAGTATCAAATGTATTTACAGGAGTCGATGTGGTAAAGAGTTCCGTCAGCTTTAGTTGACGACACGCGTCCGCCTTCTCATGCAGTCGTTTGTGTAACCAGTCCGGATGGGCCACACGCGGCACCGGATTAGCTACCTGTTGAAGAGCTGCAGGAATCGTGATAATCTTTTGTATAGCACCCCCCAAACGCTCCAAGTAGTAATCCCAGTCAAGGATAGTACGAAGATCCACATCCGCGCTAACACTAGGGTCCTTCAACCATTTGCGTAGAAAGTGACGTTTCACAGAGGGATCAGCCTAGACAGAAGTGAGTTTAATTAAGGAATCACAAGAGAGCATACTTGGAAAATAGCCAACGGAATGGCTCTTTCTGTCACCGGTGCTTGTTCTGGTTGCTTAGCTATGACGAATCGACAGGAAAGACCCGCTTCTTTCACCACTGCGTCGCCGAGGAACTCCGCGAGCCGTTTCGCTGTGCTGATTGAAGTCGATTTCTGCGAACCGTATTCCTCTAACCTTCGCGACATGCTTCTATTCTCTGCGATCAAATCAAATAGCTCCGAATCCGGAATTCCCGCTCCATGCGCATGTAACACATCTAACCAATGATCAGCGACTTTTGCTACTGCAGCATACACCTCAGTCAGACTTGAGCCATGTAAAAAGGCTTCAAAAACGGAGGATTGAAATATCTTGATCAACTGCAATTCCCCGTTCCGCTTCACCTCGAACCCCTTGAGCTCCGCCAGAGTTCCGTCAAAATTAAAGACAGCATAACGCTTCTTTAAGCGCTTGCCCTCTTCACGAGCAGCAGGTAACACCATAGCACGGTAGGGACCATCAATTTCGAAGGCGATAGTGTTTTCCGAGCGGACCTGATAGGACAGATTTGAACCGGAGATAGGTTCGTGATATTGGTGGTTGGTGAAGAGATCCCGAACCATTTGATTTAGCACGGCACCTGGATAGGATATGGAGAGACGTTTACCACTAGCCAAGCGAACGGTGAGGTTTTGCGGAAAACTAGCAGGTAGTATGCACCAGATGCCATCAGTGTCCAATTCCAAACTGCGACCAATCTGAAAAAAAGATGGCGGTTTCGTGACAATCGGAGTAAATTTTACAAGCACAGTTGAGCACATAAAAGAAAACCCTTCGGGGATGGCTGGATGTAAACAGCTGTCAATAGCACTCCGACTTCAGACAGCCATCATAATGTCCAAATACACCTAATGGCTAGATTTGAAAGAATGGAAACCAAAAAATAAGTGAAGACTTATGAATAGCCAAAATTTGGCAGATGACGGATAGTTAGGTAAATGCAGAAAAAGCCACAATTTTGAGATTAATCATTGTATTTCACATTTGGAAAATCAACTCAGTCATATGATCCAACAAAAGCTGAATGGCAATCGAGAGTTGGTGTCATGCTCAACTCTATGTTCAGAATAGATCCCTCATTTTGGTACAACGAAACCACTGGTCATAAATTCACCCAAACAAATGGGACAAAACAGCTCCATTTAAACGGAGAAACCCTACTGCAATGGCAAGCAATCAGAGTACCATGCTATCAGTTTCCCCATTGACTGCAGCTCTCTGAGAAGGAAAGCCGAATAATAACCACAGGGAAGATTAGGAAAGACAGTTATGACAAAGCGTTGTCGATGCAGTGCAATGCTGTTGCATTTGCATGGCGAGCTATTTAAACTATCCCAGCCCTCTGAGATAGAATATCAACTTTTATGCCCTATGAAACTGAATGCAAGCAGATATTTGGCACCCTACAATCGTTGGATTATAGACTCTAGAGAGATGTAGATGTTTCAAAACGCACCATGCATAACCGAAAAAACACACTTTCTCGAAGATTACGACAATTAAAAGAGGGAGGGTTTTAGAGTGATACAAAAAATCCATCCATTCGAAGCAAAGAATGCTTCAAAAAGCACGTCAAAAGGCAAGGTAACTACAAAGAATAGTTAGAAGCACTACTTCGAGAACCATCAATAAACGAAAATCTGAACTAGATGACAAAATTAATTGGCTGAATAGTTCAAATGGAAATGAATAAGCAAAAGTGGGTGGACAGATTGGGGAGAAATAAGCAAACGAGAGACACAAAGCGAGTAGAGCAGAAACGTCATTCAAATGAAGTCCTAAGAGCACGCTAAAGTTGCGAAAGTGCTACTAAAGGACTGGAAACTGAAAACCAGAGGAAAAAGTTCCAAGTAACTAGTAAAATTGATAAAAAATATCATTTCGCTCAAACAAAACCGTAAATCTGAAAGCCAAAATCAAATCCAAAGAAGTGATGAAATGTTTCAAGAATCAACCACTGGCTAAATACCACTGAATTCCTCAATCCTATGACATTGATGAGTGGCAGTTTGCTTATCGGCCAGCTAATTGGAAAATCGATGCATATCACAAAGATGAACTAACGAACTTTGGTGTCCCCGAGACACAGAGACAAGAGTGAGAAGCCAGACTCTTCCGCATTGCAGCTTAACAAATAGATTATCCGACAGGTTCTTTTGCCAAAACCTTGCGGCACCCTGTCAAAGTCCCCAACAGCAACCGATGTAAACAAGTAACTTGAACTTAGCCTCATACAAAAAGCAACAGGTTGCTTCGAAATGCGGTTTCAAAACAGATGATATAGCCACCATCATACTAATAATATTACGAAATAAATACCGTCAGGTAAACAGGAAATTTGGGACAAAAGAACGGCTTGAGTGCTCCTTCTATAGGCAGACGAGTGGATGAAAGAGGTAAAGACGGATGATGCGGAGATACGCAGTGAACGAGAAAAGTCTGCGCCCAATAAATTGAGGGCGGACAAATATAGAAAGATGAATGAACTCAATGGAATCGGAACCTTTCTGCTTCTGATCAACGTGACAAGTCGCCCGAAAACAAAAAACACAAAAAGCAATATCACACACCTGGTCAATCAACTCTCTAGCTCGCGTAATAATATTTGCTCCCGTGTTACACACCACACCGGCCATCTCCATGGAATGCCACCTCGCGCCCTTCTGCATCACGTAACCATAGAATGAGTTGAGAATGCACTTGTGCGCCAACTGAAGACTGTCGTAGAGTACTACTAACGCACTGGCCTGCTTCAATTCCGCGGGATCTCCCGTTCCCGCTTTGTTTGCTGCTATTGCCTCGTCCAATTTCCTCTTCCACACCTTCGTCATTCCCTTGAACTTGTATCTTCGATCCCGAAAGGCTCTCACCGTGTCAACGTAAAACGAATTCTCGCGTTGACACACCATTGCTACTCTTTCCTCGGTCCTTGTGGTATGGATTCTTTTGTAAGCACGGCGACAGAAATCCGAAAGCCTTTTTCTCTCCATCGTTACCTGTTCCTCCTTGTTAAGCTGATGGAATGGAATGGGAGTCTCTTCTCCTTTTACAAAAAAACGTTCTTGTTGCAACTGTGCCTGAATCCGATAGACTTCGGCTCTACTCGCCGTCCAGATTTCACCCCGCCATCTCCAAGTCAAGAACCGTCGACAAGCTGCCCCTGGTTTATAAAAATGACACCCTGAGCAGTGTTTATTTGGATCTGCGGTGACGGCTGAGGGTTGAAGCCGATTGGTGAGAATTATATTGGGATACATGGCTCCCACGTCTAGGTGGACGATTGTTGGACACTCGACACGGTTTGGCATCGCCGAAAGGTGAGTTAAAGCACTTTCTACTTCAGAACAGACCTTCTCAAAGTCCTCCTTCCTCACAAGGCTTTCTACCAAACTGGGATCTTTTGCGTCAAGTTCTGTGGAAAGCGCATAAGTGATGCAACGACGAGCATTCTCACGAAGTCGTTCACAGGCCGCTGGGATGATACGAAATCGTACGGGTATATCGGCACGAAAGACTCCGGCTTCAAGAGCTTCCACATGGCCACCCACGTAGGTCTCTGAGTCAATAAGTCTATTATCCTCCGTGAAAGAGTGCGCAAGAGTAGATTGACTGAGAATGTTATCGTATGAAACTCCAGCAGACTGCTTATGTGGAAAAACTACCTTAGCCTCATAAGCGCGAACCATTAGAAGGGCCTCACAAAGTGTTCCCGACCCCTTTCTCAAAACATCATCCGGATTCACTGGGAGGATAGTGCAAAGGGCAAAAACGAAGGGATGAACATACTTCATGTAGAGGTAGTACGTTGCTACAGCATCAGAAACAGAGTAGTTAGCCAGGGTCCGAGGATCCTCTCTAGCCATGAGACACATCACTTCAGGATCCATTTCAATTGGATCGTAGTGGAGTTTTGCTTTTGCAACGGCCTTCAACCCATGAGCACCAACTGGTAGGTAACTGTCACGTTTGACCCAACGGAAACAATCCATGTGAACAGCTGGTCTTGCGAGATAATCACCAGCCTTTGGATCTCGTCCCGGACTAGGTCCACTTTTCACACGACAGAAACCAATTTCCTCATACATGCTGATGTTGTAGACAGCTGCTCTTGCTTCAACGAATGGCCAATCAAAACAGTCACCGTTATAAGTGACCATCACCGTTGGCTTTACGCGAAGAATATGATCAAAAAAGTGTCGAATTAAAGCCTCCTCATCAGCCACATTGAAGACACGGAAGTGGCCAGGAAATTCCGGGCGCGGAGTAAATTCAAAGTCTTCAATGTCTTCCGCAATGATCTCTCGGTTGCAGATCAAGAAACCAGTGCCATCGATCATGTAAGAGATCATCATGATCTGATCCACTGACGAGTCGGGAAATTTAAGAGGCAGTTTAGTGGTCTCTATGTCGTAGGCAAGAACAACGGGTTCTGGCCATGGTACGGTTTCTTCAGTTCTGCGAAACTCTGGAAGCTGGCCAGGTCGACATTTAACAGTATACCAATGAGCAACAAAAATATCCAAATCTATAGAGACACGCATCAGATATGGCACGTCAGACTCCCTAATGTCTGTGAGATAATCATAGGCGCTCTTCATTGTTCGACCTTTCAGATGAGCGCCAGAAGGTCCACAGTCGGTAGGGTCCTGGAAATGCTGACCCAACATGTCTGTGTAAGTTGATTGATCATTTTGAACCTCCTTATTGCGTCTAACGTGTGATGAAATCTCTTTTCTTACTCGGACAAGCTCGTCTACACTCTGAAAGGACAGTTTTAGATAGCGAGCCTTTAATCCAATCAAATGGTTGGGCATGTCTAAATCTTCTTTTTCTACCACCTCTATTCTTACAACACGACCCGCAAACTCACGTGAAAGGAATGTTGTCACCTCTGTTTCGACGTCTTGATCACCATCCACAGAGACAAGGAAGTAAGGTAAATAAGGTCGAGACACTTTAAAACGTCTATCATCAGACTGAATGAAGTAAAAATCAACAGCACTGACGAGATTTTTGGAGTCATCAAGGACATCTGTTGGGTGCATGTTAAAAAGCCATCCGAAGCGTTCACCCGGTCCAGTAAAGGGCTCGAAACCGTAGCGCTGATCCAATACATCATTCGCTTTAGCTCGGTTGTAGCGGAGTTGGTTTGACTCTGACATAGCACTTTCGATATCCAGAGGGGAATCGATTTCTGATTTGGGGTAGATTTCCCACCTGTGACCGCCGCTTCGATGTGAATTCCCGTATTTTCTGCGCAACATCCTGTGGGTAGTGAACAAGAAGGTCAGTGATGATCTCAGGCAATGGTGGACAAAAACCCGATACCGATGGCCATCAAATCATTAAAATCTAGCAATTCGTTAAAATGGTCCTTGAAATTATTTTTCGTTTCGTGAAAACTAAAAAATGATAATTAAGCTAAATTTTTGCTTTGAGTTTATCAAGGAACATTAATAATTAACAAAATAAAATATATTTTAGAACCTATCATGTAGACCCATTTGTGCGAATTAATGCAGAGTAGAAGTTATCACACTTAATTTTTTTGATCAGAATGAAGTTTAAGCTAATTTTAAAAAAAGGTTGCGCTCCATTCGTTGTCTTAGTCTGGAACGGGTGAGGTAGCCATGTCTAGCCGACGAAAGTTTTTTATTTCTTATAGCGTCCCGAGAATTCTCATTTGGTGTTAGAAGGCGTAAAACCTAATTAGATACACAGATTTGAATAGAAAGAAAGGAAGTTGGTTTTTTGGCATGGCTCGAAGTTTAGCACCCCTGGTGGAAGTAATATGGCCATTCATGTGACCGCCTATCATACAGGCTGTCAAGTATTAAGCACCGCGCCCCGAAATTCCTGAATCAAGGCAAGGTGTAGGGCTAAATCCTGGTGCAACTATGGAAAACTTTTCTTCTGGAAGCCTGGCATATGGTTGATTTCCGTCTGGCGTTCAGTTCATAAGCTTTGAGCGTCTCACTAAGTCTCAATGACTCTGCTATAAAGTGGACAGAATGTTAACTTTTAGTAAGCAGAATGGAATGGGATTAATGACCTGGCGTGAGGTCAGCCTAGGACGCAAACTACATCATGACGAATCATGCGATTTCAATCTAAGCCAACAGTTAATTAAGCTATTAACTGCTAACAGAGTTATGAGGATACCTACTGAAAAGGTACTTAAAAATGTGAAAAACAAAATTTGAGTTGGACAGACCCCTAAAATAGTGAAACTTCTCCATCTTAGTGTTCAAAACAACTTTGCGAAGTTTCGAGACTTCTGACTAGGTAGAGGAAGGCATTCGGTAGGGTTGAATACATGCATTCAGACGGAAGAAGGAGAGATGAGCTTTGCTTTGGCCCAAAGGCCTGCCAAAGTAGCCAAGAGCAAGCAAACACTAAAGTAACCTCCAGTCACACAGGTAGTCTCATGAGCAAGATATTGCAAACATCGCATTACAAACATAAACGGTAACTAACTAGAACACATGATGTGTATGTGGCTGTTTGGGTGTGCCTTTTAGGCGAAAGCGGCTGGATCCCTCAGACAAGTTGAGATCAAACGGTAACCCACTTCTAATCCGTTGTCATCCTTCTATGTTATTTATGTCGAATAAAATGTCTCGAAGTCATCAAACCTATGGTACTCGATCCAGCTCGAGGAAAAGTAGATAAAAAGAAGAAATCACTATACGAAGCATCTAACAAAATGTTTTTACTTTTATCAAACCGAATAGAACTCACTTAGGTAATTTGATTTTCGGGGCTGATAATTTACTTCCTGTAAGATCTGATGCATGCTCCGCCATTCTAATCACATAATCTAAGGCCAAGTGTTGACTGATTCGCTCTGTAAGGCTGGTTGGAAGAAGAGCGATCTTACCAGGGTGCGCCATGTGATGCCTCAGTAAACCATGCCACAGACTTCTGGTAAATCTATGAGTAGTGGCGTGACCACCTTCTTTTACAGTGTTTTCGACATTGCACCACCCGCTGCAGCACCCGATTGAGTTTTGAGGCTGAAACAAATCATGGCTCCAAAAATCAGTTCTTGCATTCGTCTTTGCAGACTCCACTGAGATTTTAATCGGGTGCATATTTATAAAAACAAAATCAAGTGGTGAAAACGTGATTTTCATAGGTTGATGCAAGTAATTGAAAGCTAATTTAACGCCATAATCGGTTTGAGGTTGCATAAAACTAAGACTTTAGTGTATTGATATAACAGTAGTAATAACCTTGTGATTTTATCAATCAGATAGAGTATCTCAAAGCGTTTGAGAATCTAAGGCTGCAAGTTGTCAAACCTGTGTGTCTGTGCATATTATTAGGTGACAACCCTTCAGTATGCATTAAGCTTTTGGTTGAGTGGGTGTCGCCATGGCTTAAGAAACAGGCAAACTTGACCTTTTACATGCCCTGATAGACTGTACACCTCTCCCTTTCCATCACAACACAAGCACAAAATATGCTCCTCTACCCGATCTACTCGTTCTCGAAATTAGAAACAAAAACTATAGAACTAGCAAAGCAAAAGAACTAGGTAGTTAAATTAGGGTTGAAGAACACCTTAATTGTTAATTACTGGGTTTGATACATCTTTCTTCACCATCTTCATGAAAGGAGTCTCTGCAGCCTCGTCTCTAGGTATTCACTCGGAGCTGCGGTTAGTGAATCGCTTGTAACCAACTCCATGCCGCTGCCAGTAAAGAGTTAGCTGTGAGAAGAATCCAGTACCTTCAAAACGGCTTCAGAGAATATGGTACTCAGCAGCATTCAACCAAGTCTCTTTAGAAGTCTTGGAATTGTTATGAACAAGTAAGAGGGACGTTGTTGGTATAGATTTGGTGCCGCCATCGGCCATGCATCGGCGCGGTCACAGTCATGGCAGTCGCTGTCCAAGCGGTAGGGACAGTCGCTGATGCAAATTTTTATGGCGGATTTGGCGATTCCTCTTCTACTCGAGATTTAACCTATTAGCGACGTATGTCGCTTACCACTCATGAAATAAACGGCTCTAAAAGGTACCCATTCACTGAAAATGCTGATTTTAAGCAACCAATTGCAACAGGAAGGTTAGTTGTCCTTTTGGCAGCTGTTGTCTAGAAATTGAAGGTGGGATTTCACAATGGTCATCGCAGGCCTAGCTCTCTAATACTGATGTCTTAGTCTGTCATTAACACCTCTCCCACTCCCCTTTTACGAATTTAAGTGGTGTCAGCGCTGAGGTACCCTGAGATTGTCGTATTGTCTAAGGTAGAAATATTTTAAAATGTAGAAAGGTTGGGAGATGGAAGGCTTGCTTTTTATGGTTTCAAAAGTTAAACTTTGACCACTTAGAGGCGATAAATACCTTCTGTATGGAACGAATTCAGTTATAAAAACATTATTCAAATAATTTCACAAAATCGCAATGTGCTTCACTTCGCACATTAACAACAAAAGTCCATCGGTTTGTAAGTAAAAGACGGTTTTCAGCCTCCTCCAAGCCCCTGTTAACAGCCCACGCGCAGTCACCTTTTTTCATCCTGTCACCTCGTCTTTCAGTGTGTGTGCGTGTGTTCATTCCCCACTTGGTCCGCCCTAATTGGTTGCACGCATTCAAAGCTCTCGTCTATAAAAAACAGGCAAGTTTTTAGTGGAATCTCATTATCTACACTTTAAGTCCCTAAATTAAGTAACAAAAATGCGCGGTTATACACCTGAAGAGAAACGGCAATTGCTGAACAAGTTTCACCTGATGGACTCGGACAACAACGGAGAGTTGTCGAGGGATGAAATTCTCCAGTGTCTGAGGGAGTCGAAGTTGCCAAAGGATAAGCTTAACGTGAGTTATGCAGTTTTGCTTGTGATGGCTTTAATCAAGCAGAGACTCCATGGTGTAGGAACTTCTCGAAAAAGGAACTTATGACAACATTTTGCAATGTCACACATAAACTTTTGCTTGCTTAATTAGTGAGACTTTGACGATAGTTAATTGGTTGCCAAAAATGTCTTTTTCTACGTGGTACAGAGAAAAGGGATCACATCAAGTGCCTTTTGCTTGGATCTGTGCAGAAATGCCACGTTACAATCTATTGACGAAGGTTCAGTACTTCGCTCGTCAACTGCTCAACTTGCTAGTTTATTGCAAAATTTTTGGAAACGATTATGGTCCCCCACTGGTCTGCTAAATCGGCGAAACTCTAACTCCTTATAAGCAGCGCCTTGATGCCTTTGGATTGGTAATTGTCGGCGTAAATACGTGCCTCTGCCTCGCCAAAGCAGGACACGACCCGTGATCTCCTATTTCTGCCAATCAAATTGTCATACCAAAAATGGGAAGCTAAATACTCTTTTAGGTGGAGAACTCCGGGGTCAAACAATGGATGGGATAGAGAAAATGCTTTTTGCTACATCTTTTCCAAGAATGGACTCTTTGTAGTCTTTTTTGGTGTCTATTTAATCCTTTCAAAATACTTCGCAATTTTAAATATTTGTCTAGTGCATCGGCTTTATTTGACCATAATATACAAGTCAACAACCTCCAAATAGTGGTCATTATTGGATAAGTCAGTCATTTGGACTACTGAATATTTATAAGACTAAAGTGTTTTTTTGGCCGATACCTCTAGCATTCCATGATTGCAAAGTATAAGGTGCTTTATGGGCAAGCAATGTGAAATGATCAGAATAGTGTTTTCAGAGTAATGATTACAAGCCACGAGACCTGTAGGTTCGTCAACCCACACCTCTTGATGTTGCCATGGCTCACATCGTCAGAGCGTAGTTGCTGCTTCTTTCTGATTGGGCAACTTGCCACCCACGTGCCTCTGCGCGCATACGCGGAGCCATAAAAGAAGGCCGTTTGAGTAGAAACCAGACCTCATCATATCACATCACATCATTTGCACTTTCCTAACCCAATACGATGACTTTATCAAAGGCTGAGAGGCAGAAATTGTTGTCAAAATTCTACAATATGGATACCGACAGAAACGGTGTATTAAGTAGAGCAGAGATTGAAAAGTGTCTGCGAGACTCAAATCTTCCGGAGCATGTTGCTACAGTAAGTTCTGCTCCACTTGTTTACTTGATTCTTCTTTTCTCCTCAAAACATTAAATCGTCATGCTGGGATATTTGAAGGCTTATTGGTTAAATCCTTGTCTTTAATTTCCTGTTTTATCAACCATATCATGGATACAACTTCAAAAATCTGGAAAGGGTTAATTTTCTACTAACTAATTGGTAAATGTTTAGCTAGGCTGAATTCGATTACGTATTGATTGATCAAGTTTATAAGCAATTAATTCCTTGCACCAATCGTTTGTCGAAATGCATAATCAGGACTAGTCGGCGCAATGACCCTACCAATGAAAATTAATGAACTATTTACCGCTGGTAGCATGTGTTGTTACAGACGAGACACAACGATTGGGCAGAACAGCGACTCTTATTGGTCCCGGCAATTTTTAAATGCTCATCTCCTTAGCTCACTTCCGTTTTCCTATATCAAATTTTCGCAATATTTTAAGCATCTCCAGGGAATACAGCTGAGTACTTTATCCTCAAGCCAAAATTAAGGAAAAAATGTTATTAGTTAAAGAATTCATCTCAACTTGGATGCGGGATAATGTGATAAAACCTCACATTGTTTTAATGTCGGTGGCAAAGTAAACAAGGCGTTTGGGATCCCTTGTCGCACGTCCTCAACAGTGTGAAAACTTAGAGGCCAAGTATGCATGTCACATTTATGTAATGCTTTGTTAAGATCCATTTTTCCCATCAGGTTTTTCATTTGCCCCAAGTTTATCCAGTGCTCACGATAGGTGTTAAGTAAAGCTGAAAAGGATGATGAGGCAGACGCCAATTATCAGAGTTGACACGCTTTCTTAGACGTCTTCTCCCTATCAATGATCGATTCGTCACAGGAATCCTCCATCCGCGCCTAGTTTTCCCACCAATGAGGGCAAAGCAAATGGTATTACCGTCATCTAACGTTGTTGAATTATCCCACTCCACGAAAACGTTTAGGGGATGTTAAAAACATCGGATGCAGATGATGATGGGCATGTGATTATAGGAAACTATAAAAGTTCGTTCATGATGAACGCGGTTGTTTGCAGATGGAGGTCAAAAAACGCGAACTTGTGTGGATTGATAGGCTTAAATTATAGCACAAGGTAGTCATCTTTGAAACACTCATCCCTGTGCCTTTCATGCCTGTAAGGGATACATTGGAGAAGGCTTTTACACATGCCAGCTTCAAGCAGGCTTGAACTGCATACATTCGTATGGCATCAAAGCATTTTGAAACATCGAGAATGCGCACCCTCATTTGACACAGTGCCACGTTCAGGCGTTTGGCAAGAAGTCACCATCAAATAAAATCGCTAAAAATGCAAAGCTTAACAGATACCCTAGTAAATGTATGTTAAATGTAAATATATACATTTCCAAAGAATGCTGCTATAAAAGTTAGGTTTTAACTAAAGATCCAAGAAACAATTTGGTATGAGTGAAGTAAGCAATCGTTAAAACTACAGAACACCATTTTTTTTGAACATTTCAGGAATTCCTCAGCCTTTTCGATGCTGACGGTGATGGTAGGGTCACACTGGACGAGTATGAACGGGCACTTGGGTTAAAAGAGGTTCCCCAGACTACGTAGGTCTAAAAAGCGTCAACAAAAGTTTTAGCAAAGAAAGTGCTTCCAGGTTTGTATTTCTAGCCCTTTCCTTTTTCCAGGATTGATGACTGGAAGCGAACCTTCGCAGAGATGGATGTGGACAAGTCCGGTTTCCTGACTGTATCCGAGATCCATGAGGGCCTCTTGAAGATCGGTGTGAACATCTCCAAAGTCGATATTTCTGACTTCATTAAAAGTGTTGACAATAATGGTGATGGAGTTTTGACGGTTGACGAGTTCACTGCTTTAATGCGTCTCAATACCTAAACAGATTTTGTACAAGTAAAAAACGGCAGTATATTTTTGATATTATGTATAAAATTTGGTTTTGTTTAGAAACTTATTAATCTTTCTTTTCGAAATAGGGATTATAAAGCAGTAATGAGGAGATCACTCATGCGAATGTAATCAGGGTGGTAGCTGAGAGGTTTCTGAGCTAGATTACGAAAAAGAGATTATTGCTTGCTTGATCTGATGTGATAATTGAGAATGTGTAGGAGGTAAATAATCTTGATCAGTACAACGCAATTAACCAACGAGAGCCTTAGAATTGTTTGCATAGCATGGCTAATATGACTCAAGTTATGCTAGCACCTACACGTTTTTTGGACTACAAACATCAGTAGTAATAGATCGAGGCACCATAATGTCCTGGGCGAATTAGCCTTCGAGCCGTGCTTGCTGTACTGGTGGGTAAGAGGCGGGTGTTCACTCCAAATGGTACTTGAGAATCGCGTAAAGGACACGTCCGGGCTCCAATAGCTTTACAAGTACACCCGTTAGCGCCTTTTATACTTTTAGTCACTTATATTGTTGAACAAAACATATTGGCTACAAAGGCTTGCTATCTACGGAAAAACGGAGCTCGGAAGCAAAGAACCTTGTCCGAGATAAGCGCCAATACTATTTGACATACCTTTTCCATTTTTTGTTTGTACTACACTAGGAACGTCTTATAAGAAGACTAATGTGATGCTTTGTTTATACGACTACCTGATGGTCGGCGGCCACTTTCGGATTTGTCTGGCCATTGTACTTTTGAGTTGGTCTTCGGGCCATGCTCGGGCCTAGTCGCTTCGTTCTCTTCGAAATAAATGTGTCCAGCCTCACTTATTACCTTCTCGCACCCTGTGGGAAGTCTCGGGACGCCACATTGGTGGCGGCGGGAAGCAAACCAGACGTTTATTCAATGGCTTCTATCCTAGCACGTACCGTTTGTTGCATTTACCTACGGCGTGCAGGAGGCGCATTTACCTCGGTGGCAGGAGGATTCCTGAACCCTTCACAACGAAAGGATTTATACTGACCTCTGCATTTGGCTCAATCCTAATCCCGTGTTTCGCGTCGGAATTCCCCATACAAAATCCGTATATAGGTGGCTTATTCCATTTTCTCTATAACATATATATTTTAGACCTGAGTTTTACCATTTAGACCTAGATGTAATTGATGTTCAACGGATGTATGCGGCACCGAATCCGGTCATCAAACCAAACGTAACTCCAGATCCAATTGAAGCTGTCGAGGCGACCAGCAACGGTTCCTCAGTTTCATGCTATCTGTCGACTGTCGCGGTTGGCTCGTGAGTGCTTTCTTGTAGTACCGAATATGTTGTGATGGCTGGTGCGGGAGGTGTACCAAGGGGAGCGCCGAGGACGCCGCTCAAAAGAAGTGAGTGTAATGCTTTGTTTG